GCCCCGAGCCCTGCCCGGCCGGGGGGCTGAGGGACGGCCGCCCGGGCCGCCGAGTCGCCAGGGCGTGGAGGACGCGCGGCGCGGAGGGCAAAGGCGGGCGCGCTCGCTTTGGGCATGCCCCTCTTGGAAAGGCGGAGAAATCTGGGCAGAGGCAGCATTTTGGCTTGGACTCTCTCCAGCACGCCAGGTACCGGTCTTTCGTGGGCTGGCTCGGTACGGCGAGGCTGTAGTCACAGACCCAGCAAGCGCACTCCTTTGGTGCTTTATTGGTGGCTTGAGTGTCAAATCACAGCATAGACTGCCATCTACTGAACCGCCAGATCATTTCCTGTCAATATCCTTAAAAAAAAGCCGTGTTCACACCATACATACATGCGCACGAATCCAGCGTAGCCGGGGAAAATTAATATCGTGCGTTTATTTTACCCTGCAGAGCAGTCTATAAGAAGCATAACAAACGAGAACACCTCTACCCCGTGTTTGTAGAATTCTTTTGTCCTCCGGAAAGCGGCACCCGTGCCCCTTGGAAAAGGGGCAGGGCATCACTGATAAAACAGCAGTCTGACATGATGAGAGCAATAGGGTAACTAAAGGAGCTGCTAGAAGTTAAGCCTTTTCTAACTGCTGGGTTCTTAAGAAACAACTGCCAATGTCACTAGATTTTCAGACACCCCAAACTGGACTTCCGGTGTATTTCTTGCCTCGCTTCAGAAATAAATAAGAAAGAAAATCAGAACCGAGCTCAGGAAGAATAAATTTAAATAAAAGAATAAGAACTAAAGAAAACAGTGTCCTAAAAATTACATCCTGTGAGAGTCTGGAGTATTTCAGTAATGCAAGGGACGCTCTAGTGCTGAAGTTACTACTTCGGCTACTACAATTCACACGAAAGTGTCACTAAGCTTTTCCCTGCACTTGACAAAGTGTATATTGGTCTAACTATCACATGATAAGCAGACAGGACTGGAAAACACTATCATGCCCCTCCTACTGAAGCCGTGGTTCTCTGCAACTAAAAATTTGAGACCTAGAGAAAGATTCCTCTTCTATTCCAGCTCACAAGAGATACTGCATTGTTACTGCCATTGACTAGGTTTCATCCCTTGCTGGAGTACAGCTTGTACACGAAACACCTCAGTTCCACCTAAATTCTGTGTGCACAGCCAAGGCCTGTATTGCGTGCAGCCCAGGGCATATCTCAGCGGCTTGAATGGATGGATGGAGCCACTCAGGGGATAACCTCCCTCATCACAAGGGTTAACATGCACAGCTCCCAATTAGCTGGAGATTCTTGTATACGCCCTTCACACATTCAATGCCCAGGCAATAAAAGTATCTTGCAATATTCAACATTATCAAATACATAAAACAAAATGTATTGAAGAAACCTCTTGAAAGAAAAGCTCACCATAATGACCACGCCGATGGCGGGAGCAGATAATATAATTAAATCAAGGCGTATTTCAGCTTTAATATTAAATCTACCAACATATGATGAGAAATTTTAAACAGTACTGTCAAATAAAAAGCCATATGACACAACTGGAGCAAAAAGTAGAAAAACATTTGAGTTATGGGAAGCTTAACTAGAGTATTAGATAAAGACTTAAAAATTAAGGACTATATCTTCTTTAGTGTAATTAATAATACCAAATGCTGCCTCTGGCACTTCACTTACAGTCAGAAAATTCACTGAAGCCCAGCTCATTGCAACTGCATAAAACTGAAACATATTACCAATCGATCTTATTTTAGGAATATGTATAATACAGTTCCTGGAACATCATTCATCCTCCTGTGCAAAATATGCATTAATTCTCTTTGAAACAAAATCACATGTCATAGTCCTGCACTCACTTCAAGAACATATAAAAATATATTAGTCATTTTCAAGAAACAGAACTAAAAATATTTTTTCTGCAAATAATTCAAGATCGTGACTAAGCCCTCTTACATGGAGAACAATTAAAGATGATTCACTGGAATAGTCAGAAGCAGCACATATTCAGAAGCAGTACATAGTCAGGCATTCAGTCGGCTCTAAATCTGTTTCTGTCGAGCCACTGATTCTTCCTTGCTCTGCATGTCAAGTTTAGGCATCTTGATCTACTTCGCAAGACCTGGCACTAGTCTGAAATTCACACTTTAACATAAGAATCAAAGAGCGTTTCTGCTGGGTTAGACCAAAGGTCCGTCTCTGAACCACTTGCAGTTCTAGTCTATGGTTCTGGAGATGCGGGAACCAAATTGCACAGTCTTGAAACCACAGGTGAACCACAGATTCATACTTGAGCATAACAGCGTTCCCTACTGTATCCTATATTCTTTTCACAATGCTGCCTAACATTTCATTAGTGTTTTGTCTTCTGGGAGTTTAGCAGACATAGTCGTGGAACTGGTCATTTTCTTCTGCTTTCTGCAGGTAATCCTCTTGCCTCTTTTGTTTGTGTCTCGCTCCCTACTCAGAGTTTTCGCTTACACTAGTATGCATACAAACCTCCCCGGCCTTGTTTATCAAGGTACCACACCAACCTCACACAAATGGCTCCTAAAACTGTCGTCAGAACAAAGTTACCTCGGTCGTTCTTTTTTATCTGGTAAGTCAAGTCATTTTCGGTAACCAGAAAAATTAATTTAACTCAACCTTCAGAAGGAAGTGCGTATGTTATCCTAATAACTCTTCTGGACTTTGATCCTCTTCCACCTAGTCCAAATGAAAGTCTTGATTCTGCAAATAGGAGGCACCAAGCTGTTACCAGGGTTTCCACAGAGGGTCTTCCATTGTAAGCATTACGCTTCTGCCTCCATCAATCCACTTGCAGTATCAGAGCGTTTGATCTTAAATTCTTGTGGAAAAGGACTATGCTTCTGGTTGTTTTGCAAAGGGCTTAGCATCCTAGCATGCTTTATATTCACTGCAAACATTCAATTATATAATGCTATAGCCCCTTTAATGAAGTTCGGAAAAGGTTATCCAACTTCTTAGTTTTCTGAACTGTCCTCCAGCTTTAGTTTCAGCTACTATACTGCTAGAAGCATTGTTGTTACAGTTTCCTCCTCCTAATAAGAAGCAGGAATTAGTAAAATTCTTATGAACAGACTAGGTTTTTTTTGAACCCTAAAGACCCAAAGTACTCCTATAAGCTTCCAGATTTTTGTATGCTAAGCTTTTAAGGTTTTCTGCACACTAATTGTTGACATTTTTACCTAAGGCAGCTGTCTAGCCAATAGTCCATCTCCACTTGTGGGCCACTTAAGTAGCAGTAACAATAGGTTAAATATACATGATACTTTCCCAGAATGCTCTTCCCTCCTTCGAGTATTTTCAGCTGAAGTGAGTTTCTGAGCTAGATATTTCCATATTTAGTAGCACTCAATATATTTCTCTTACATGCACTTGTCCAGCCTTTCACTCACCAAAGTAAACTTTAACATTGTTTGGCAACAAGATCCAACGTCTTCCACCTGTGATGTGTGGTCTTTTTCTTTGTTTTGAACCTTGATCCTGCTCGTTTTATTTGATATCCCCTAGTTCTTGTATTAGAGAGCAGGCAATGACTATAGATCTTCTCTGTGCCACTCGTGATTTTGCACGTTCCTATCACATTCTCCCTAAGTTAACCATTTTCAGGTTGACAGGTTAAAATCTACTTCGCTGTTCCTTATAGAGAAGCCGTTACCAGCCTTTGAAAAAAAAAAAAAAAAAGGATCTCTTTCTAACATTATGTCTAATATTTTACAATATTAGACAACAGTAACAATATTATTGTTCTTCTGCTACTGGATGAAGAAAGAAAATAAAATTACTTATCACCTAATGTTGCTACAGAAAATAAATAGAAGAGTTTGGATAGTAACAAAACATCATGACAATAAGGAACTAATTAAGGACACAGTAATTAGGAGGGTTCACTCTTCATCCTGCTTGTCAAAGTCCTGGCAGAGATCACTTTTCAACTCCTCATAAAAGTAAAATGATTTGTGAAAGAAATTTCAGGCATAGTCTGGAAGAAACTGAAGAGTGAAAGAGAGAAGCACCCACACACCACTGTACATTTTAAAGAAGTGACATATTTGTTTGAACCTATGGGAAGAAAGATACCACATTCGCACTGAAAAGTTGAGGTTGCCACTAAGCACAGTACAACTAAAGACAGCATCATCATCTGTAAGAGTCTGAAATCCAATGGGTGGGTGAAACTGGACCTTTAAGCTTGTGTTTCTTTTTTGTGCAGAGCCTAAACCATGTTCAGTCCAACAATATCTAGTGACAGCCTTGAGAG